GGAATTATCTACTAATCCAGCAGTTTTGACTGTCATTGAATGTCAGATTAGTGACTAAAAGGAAGAGGCACTCCTTCCTTATGAGTATTAAGCGGTATTTTAATATCAAATTTATGCACTACATTGTGTGATTTCCACTGGATTATCAGGAAGTTAGATGGTATGTTGATAGCAATATTAATGGGACCCAAAACCATTGTGACTCTTTCTCTCTCTGATCTATCGATCAGAGTTTTCTAAGATAAATTTATGGAATATTTTATGTTAGCTGCTTTATTATTGCATAGATAGGATACATGGTGTTAGTAGATGTAAAGCCTACAACATTAATAGTTTGTATGACTCAGGGTAATCGTTCCGAGTTTGAAAACACAACTGAAAGGACATTGCGACCTCTACTTTCCAAGCAATCAAGCAATTTTCTACAATGAATTTTTGTCCGGCATGTCGTGAGAATTGCTTACCATTTCTAGCTGAGTAGCAAACGTTCTTTACAGTAAATCTTATAATACTTGTTAGAATCATTCCAGTACACTTAATTATACATAATTCCTTCATGTGCAATGAAGGAGGCTTTGTTCTTTCTCGTCACAGGATGTAAATCACGACATTGTGAATCTGAGTGGAAGTATTTATTCCATTGGATTTGTCTGGACTTACTTTTCTGTGATTCCAACAGAAGTGAGTGAATTAACTCGTATACGGTGATAAAGTATCTTTATATTTCAGTTACAAGTGTTGAAGGACATCTAAAACAACAAATGTATTGTATTTAGCCTAGATTGGTTTGAGAGTAATGATATTTACAGTAGCGATAGTAACAATATCAATCCTGCTTGAAATTACTGTTATGCCTCCAGTCGTTAGTTAATTTTCCGTAACTTCGTTCCGACGAAACTTTAGAGACACAAGTCCTTTCTTCAATAAAACTGGTTTATTCTTTCCGAATACAACTTTACGATACACGTAATTTCAACAGTCGCGATATAACAAACGCTAGAACGTCTCACGTGCTCGTGCTCGACAATACTCAATTACACACTCTCTGGCTGCAGTTCAATTACTCGTTACCTACACATTGTCCCGTCACGTTGTGACCATCTTATATATACCAGACTACCCCAATCTAGTAATCTCCCGACAATTCACGAAGGTTCGAGAAAGAAGTGGAGTGATACTAGTCACGTGACCGAAAAG